GTTGGGGGCAATATGCTGACTCTCTGTAAACCGCTTAGAGAGGGCTGAAAGCCCTATGAAGTGGTATATAAGTCTACTGCTAAGTCTACTGCTATATATTCATGCCCTTTTCTTTTCTTTTTTGAAAAAAATCTGGCCTGTTTTTGTGAAAAACAGGCCATTTTTGGGAGGTCTGCAGAGTGCAAAAACTTTTTTTTTAATTTGCCTCTCCAAAATCTTGGTGCATCTTATACTCTGGTGCATCTTGTACCCTGAAAAATACGGTATTCTCTGACGAGAGAACACTGAAAGAAGCTCTCTGGGTTATACATGTTTGTGTGTATTTGGAGTGCCAACATGGCTTGAAAATCGGAATCACTTCTGTTCTTCTTCCAGTTTAGAGACCAGTCCTATTACAGACACAGACCTTGCAAAGCGTACCGTTTTCCAAAGATCCTATTCTGTCGTTGCATCAGAATATGACAAGCCTCACTCCATTCTGCCTGCCCGGGTCAAGGCCATCCCCAGAAGGAGAGTTAACAGTGGAGATGCAGGTGAGAAAGCATCTTTCTCTCGGGGAATTGGGGTGGAACACTTGGGCCGTGTTCATCTCCATCTCAGTCTTGGCACAGGCCCACACTGTTGTGCTTCCAAACTCAGGACAGACCACACCCACAAAGCTCCAGATGTGCCCTTAGGGATGGCCATCTTCTCCCCCACACTCACGTGGCCCTGTAGAGCAGCGGTGTCAAACTCAATTTCATTGAGGACTGCATCAGGGTTGTGTTTGACCATGGGGGGCCAGGGTTGGTGTGGCCAGCTTGACGTTACTCGTGTCAGGGGCACAAGTGGACTGGACTTCCCTGAGACCCTCACTCACTCTCATTATAATCTCCTTCATTCCTTCCTTCTCCTCTTTTTTCTTCCTTCTCCTTTCTTCTTCCTTCCCATCTTTCCTTTTTTTTCTTTGTCTTTCCCTTGTCCCTTTCTCCTTTCCTGTCCCTTCTTGCATGCTCAAATGCAAAAGGGGAAACATTTCTCCTTTTGTTTCGTTTTTTAGTTTGTTTTGATAGCCCTCTGCCAGCAAAAATGGAGCTCAGGGAGGGCATACTCTGTTTTCAGCCGCGACGGCCTCCTGCAAACCTCTGCCAGCAAAAGCGAGGTATGGGGAGGCCACGCATGACCCCCGAGCTCCATTTTCACCGGCAGAGGCACCACGAGCTGGTCTTTGGCTATTTCCAGGCTGGCCCCGCGAGCCAGATCTAAGCACCCTATGGGTCAGATCTGGCCCGCGGGCCTTGAGTTTGACACCCCTACTGTAGAGGATGAACAAATTCCTCTTCCTCCTCCTCTCTACCTTCTGCACTTTCCACTTCTTGCCTTACCTGCAAGCGGGCAGCACTACCAGGGAGGGCTTTCACCAGTCCCTAGGAAGAAGGTGAGAATATCCCAGATGACCTCCCCAAGGAAGTAGAATGCTGCTTTTCATGGCCATCGGTGCAGCCTCTGTGCTACAGATGTTGTGCTTGCTCTGCTTTCCATTTTGGAGGCATTCGCATAGCTGTGGGAGCTGATAGGCAGGCTGCAGCTGGATCAGAGGCAGCCTTCCCCGCCCCGCCCCCCAAAAAAATCCCCTTCAGAGGAGAGCCAGAAATCCTGAGATGGTATTGCTGCAAAGAATCTCCCTCTCAGAGTTCGAATCCAGGGCCTTACATGAGTACCCATTAAGGCCAGTTTCCCCAAAGCAATTTAGATATGGCCAGTTTCTTGGCAAATCATTCAATGTTTGGGATGATTTACATGCGTAATACCCAACGTGAGAAACGGGCCAAGGTTGATAGCATCTCAGTTCTTAAGCACTGAAAACCAAGACGTTGGCTTGGGTGAAATGCTGCTGGTTTGGCCGAACCAGTAGTAAAAAATGCTACCGGGTCACTCAAACCGGTAGTAAAAAAATGCTACCAGGTCACCCAAACCGGTAGTAAAAAATGCTACCGGGTCACCCAAACCGGTAGTAAAAAATGCTACCGGTTCACCCAAACCGGTAGTAAAAAATGCTACCGGTTCACCCAAACCGGTAGTAAAAAATGCTACCGGTTCACCC